TCATGTTTTAAACCTTTTACAACATGTTTCTAGAGCGCATAATATTGCATAATTTTTTACTCACTGCATAATTGTACTCTTTTTGCATAATGATCGCAGAATAGACTCAAAATTTTCAAAATAGTGCTTTTTTAACTAAAAACCATGGCAAATTTTTTTTTAGTTTCTTTATTTTTAAAATATTTTTTTAAATTAAATAATAAAATAAATAAATTTTTAAACTATTAACTAACTTGTTAAATGTTATTGAAAAATTAAATAAATCTTAAATTTTAAAAAGCAGTAAGTACTATATATGATGAGTAACATCGTTTCCGGTCATTTTCCCGAAAGGCCGTGTCTGAATGTCTAATTAGTATAAAGATGTTTCCGTTGTTAAAATTTTTTTCGGAATCTTAAAGAAACCACAGCAAAGATTTGTTTAGTGTTTGCCTCATTCAATTTCGTTTGGTCGTTCAAGAGTTATTTAATTATTATTTAATGCCTGTTTTGTTTATAAAAATTTGTATAAACATAATATAAACAATTTTTCATTTTTTTTTTCTGAATTAAGTGTGGTGGAAACATTTCTTTTTATGTGTAGATTAAAATTCCTGAATTTTATTGCAATTGGTTTACTTACTCCAAAAAAACTAAATTCTTACTTGGAGTCGCACATATATCTATTTTTAATAAAAAACAAAAAAAAATTTTGGGTACATAAATCTTTGGGAAATTAGATTCGGGAAAAAGGTATTTGGGATTTTAGACATTCGGGATAGGGCCTTTCGGGAAATTGGTTTCGAAAAATAACCAGTAACTGTTCCAAATCAAAAATTTTTTTTAAATGCAGCATAATTTTGTAAAATGAACATTTTTTAGCGCATAATTGAAGCAGAATTCTTTTTAATTGCATAATTCTGCATAATCATGCTCATTTTATCGCATAATTAACGCAGAATTCATCTTTTTAGTTGCATAATTCCGCATAATTGTACACAATTTAAGCGCATAATTAGAGGGACTCAAAATGCATAATCTACCTTTCTCTAATTATTTTTAATACAAATTTTAATGGATTTTCTCGAAAAATGTAATTCTTCTTAAAAATTTTATTAAAATTCATCAAAGAAATTCAATTTCTTGAAAGAATTAAATTATTTTCAAAAATTTTAATGAAATTCTTTTTAACAATTCAATTTTTGTTTCAAAATAAGTTTAATAAAATTCTTTGTAGAAATTTAATTAATTTCAATAATTTATCAAGATTCAATTATTTTCAATATCTAAAATTTCAAAAAAATTCAATTAGGTCTTTAGAAAGAAATATTATTAAAAAATTCGTCTCAAGAATTCAATTATTATTTTCAAAAGTAATAAAATTCTTCGCAAAAATTCAATTATGGTCAAAAGTTTTAAAAAAAATTCTCTTCCAAATTTCAATTATCTTTTATGAATAATAAAATTTTTCTCTAAAATTCAATTGTTTTCAAAAAATTTAATAAAATTTTTGTCAAAATTTCAATTATTTTCAAAAACTTTTCTCAATTCAATCAAATTTTTTTTACAGAGATTCAATTATTTGTAAATATAATTTTAATCTAATTTCTCGAAAAATGTAATTATTCTTAAAAATTTTATTAAAATTCATTAAAGAAACTTAATTTCTTAAAAGAACTAAATTATTTTCAAAGATTTTAATAAAATTCTTTTTAACAATTCAATTTTCGTTTCAAAATAATTTTAATAAAATTCTTTGTAGAAATTTAATTAATTTCCATAATTTATCAAAATTCAATTATTTTCAATATTTACTATTTCAATAAAATTTCACAAAAGAATTCAATTATTTAAAAAGAAATTTTAATAAAATTCGTTTCAAGAATTCAATTATTTTCAAAAGTAATTATTCTTCGCAAAAATTCAATTATATTCATAAATTTACAAAAATTCTAGTCAAAGTTACAATTATCTTTCTAAATAATAAATTTTTTCTCCAAAATTCAATTATTTCCAAAAATTTTAATAAAATTCTTGGCAAAATTTCAATTAATATCAAAAACTTTTCTCAATTCAATCAAATTTTTTTTACAGAGATTCAATTATTTGTAAATATAATTTTAATCTAATTTCTCGAAAAATGTAATTATTCTTAAAAATTTTATTAAAATTCATCAAAGAAATTCAATTTTTTGAAAGAATTAAATTATTTTCAAAAATTTTAATGAAATTCTTTTTAACAATTCAGTTTTCTTTTCAAAATAATTTTAATAAAATTCTTCGTAGAAATTTAATTAATTTCCATAATTTATCAAAATTCAATTATTTTCAATATTTACTATTTCAATAAAATTTCACACAAAAATTCAATTAGGTATTTAAAAAGAAATATTATTAAAAAATTCGTCTCTAGAATTCATTTATTTTCAAAAGTAATAAAATTCTTCGCAAAAATTCAATTATTATTATCAAAAACTTTTTTCAATTCAATCAAATTTTTTACAGAGATTCAATTATTTGTAATACTTAATCTAATTTCTCGAAAATTAAAATCATTCTTAAAAATGTTATTAAATTTCGCCAAAAGAATTTTAATTACCTATTTAAAAATTTGTTGATAAAATTCTTTATGAGAGTTCAATATTTTAAAAAACATTCAATTCTTCAAAAAATTATTTTTTTTCTATTTAAATAATTGAAATCTCGTAGAATTTTCTAATAAAAATTGATTTAAATTAAAATTTCAGTTAAAATTTTAGATAATAATTGAATATTAAACTCTCTAAATTTGAATTAGTAAAAATGTTTTCTAATTTGAATTAGTGACTGACTTTTTGTTTTTCAATTGGCAGATTATACTAAATAAATAGTCGTTTCTACTAATTATGAATTATGAATTTAATAGTTTAATTTTCTAATTCAAAAGCAAAAAGTCAGTCACTAATTCCAATTAGTAAACATTTTTACTAATTCAAATTTAGAGAGAAAGTATTATAGAGTCAATTTTTAGAAATAATTGAATTTTGAAAAGGTTTCAAATTATAATCTTTGAATGTTTGAATTTTTCATACTTTTAACTGAAAATTGTGTAGGTTAAATTTTTTTGAAAAAGTTTAATTGATTTTTTTTAAGTTATTTGAAGTTTTTTATTTTCTAACATATATTTGATTGAAGAATTTCTGAATAATCGATGTAATTTCCTATAATTGAATTGTAAACAAAAGGATTTGAAAATTTTCAAAGAAATTTTTCAAAAATTATTAAAAATAATAAAAAAGAAGAATTTTAATTAAAAAATCCGGGAAAAGAATAATTGAATTGAAGTGATGAAAGTAATTTTTAATAAGTTGCAGTAACATTATTTTTATAATATAAAATAATTATTCGGTCATTTTTAATTATTATAAAACATGAAGATATCATTGCTCCGAGTCGAAGACTCTGAATAATCGATTTCTTCATGTTTTATAACAATTTTTTATAAGTTGTTTAATTTCAAAAAGGTTTGAGTTTAAAATTTTTGAAAATTAGCCTAGCTTTGAAATAATGGAAAAAGATTGTTAAGTAATTGTAATAGAATATGATTTTAGGAACAGTTTTAATTTGTGTATGTGCAAAATTTATGATTTCCAACCCCAAATCTTAAAGTTAACTTTAAATTTTAAAAGTAAACATATATTCCAAAGGACAAACGATTGTATCTTGCCATCTTTGATTCTTGGACAATTTTGAGAGGCAGTTTCGCAGGTAGTTTTTGAAGGAAGAAGTCAAGGTTATATCAATTTTCTGATCTTTACATGCCTCTTCTTCTTCAGGGAAAGTCGATATATTTAAATGTTTATAGCATTTTCTAACTGTTAGTTTACAGCATCCCTAGAAAATTCTCACCCCAGTTCGGACTGACTTTACATTGACTTTTTCCTGGAATAGAAAAGTGTACATACTTTTATTTCAAAGACAATGCAAGAAACCTTGGAAATGTTTTTAAAAAATATTTGTCTCACTTTGAAATACATAATACCTAAAAATTTCACTTTTTCAAGATGAAAAACATGCCGAGACGATATTCAGACATAGAATTTATTTACAGCAATATGTTTAATTTATAAGAGAGAAGCTTAGTCGTCGATTCTGAATTTCTTATGAACTTAACCAGGAAACTTCTATTTTTAAAGACATGGATTGCTTTTAAAACTTGAAGCATTTCAATTTATGTGTCATGACAACTATTCAATTAAAAAATTGTTTTTTTTATTCCTTCCTAACAGATCTAAATAAATAAATAACAGAATAAATTAAAAGACTTTTGTCTTTATTTAAAAACACCCTCATATCTAATATTTGTTAAAGCAGGAAAAAAATTAATACGATTTTCAGGAAAACCTTTTAGTTTTCAAGACTGGGGACTAAACTTGAAACTTGTTTAGTCAAGAATTAAATATGTTTCAAGAAAGTTACATTGAAAAAAAAATACTGTTGAATTTAATGTAATCTAACTTCTGTATATTCAAATACGTTCAAAAGCAACTGAATATTTTATTGCGTGATGAATTACATTTGATTTTGAACGTATGTTAATATGCCTGCTATAAATTCAATAGCATTTTTTTTCCTACGGCATACGATTCAATCGGTTATAACCTAGGCTGTAGAATTCACGTCCCTCGTCTGATGTTCGCAGTTCGTACCAATTGCTCCTCCTTAACTTTCTAAATTGAACCAGAGAAAATTTGCTGATTGGTCAAACTCGTCAGAGCAAATTCATAATTTGCAAAAGGTTGTGTTAAAGTTTGTGTACCTAAAGTAACAGTTAACAATAATTTTCCTGTTTCTTTTTATAATCATGGCTTCCCAACTTTGCAAAAATTATTCTGTTCTTTCTAAAACAACAAACTAATTTGTTAGTAATAATAAAAAAAAAAAAATTAGGCTCCAAGTACTTCATTTTGGTTAATATAGTAATGAAGAAAAATTTCTTTCCATTTATAGCAATAATAATACATTTTTTTCTTCTGTTACAGATCAGACAAGAAAAGCCTTACTATATAGCAGATCCAGAGGTGGATTCATTGGTGAGTTTGTATTTCATTATTTAATAGTTTTCCTATATTTATACATAATACAAATGCATAAGAGCTTGTAATTATTCAATCATACTGGACAAGAGAATTATTTTTACTCTCCAGTTTTTATTTGGTTTATTTGGTTATAAAGTTCTGAAATGATTCTTGTTTTAAGGACATTTTTAGACATATTCTGAAATGCTAATAAAATTGCAAAAATTATCAACATTCTTAATTAATATTTCTATTATTAATATTTCTAGTATTCGTTTCTAAAATATCTTTCAATAAACCAAGGTTCAATAGGAGAGTGAGGAATAAAAAGGAAAGTTGAAAATAAAGTACAACATATTTAGTGCGGTAAAATAAGATTTTTTGAAAAAAAAGTCCTTTCCTTTAAACAAATCGCTTTGGTAGATAATTAAAGCGGTCAGTATGACATAACATATGGCAGGCATATTTTTTTAGGGGCTTTTGAAAGGATCTTAAAAATCCGGAGAAGAAATATTTCAAATGATCCTGCTTTTCTGCTTTTTCTGATCAAGATAAGATTAAGGAGTGGACCTTTTAAACACACTAAGGGAGATTCAAGAGGACGCTTCTCTCATTTAGAATTTACCCACATAGTTTCTGAATATCATTTAGAGGAGAGGTATCTCCCAAAAATTCTTCTTCTATTAGATTTAAAAAATTTGAAGATCTTTTATAATATTAAAAATATTTTACGTAAATATTTTTTTTAAATTTTTAGGCTTAAAAGTAACTTTTATCAAAAAGTTAACACTTAACGAGTATATAATAAATAGAAATGGCTGAAAATAAAAATTTCGAGGTGAAGCTTCTTCTTATGAGTTTGGAGGTTATAAGGTTCGGTTGTCGACATCGTTTTGCGATCGGTATTGCCTACACTTGTGACTAAAGGAACTTGGCGTGGCTTCATTACGTCCGTAGCGAATCGTAATCTACGAGCAATGAGTTTCTATCGTAAAGAAGACGAAGCATGTTACTTTGGTAGTTTTTTGTCCAGTTCTTCTCTGTCTTTCTTTTTTCCATCACGGATTTCTTCCTCACTTTCTGTTAGTCAATCGACTCAACTTTTTGTCGATAATTTCGCAGAACGGAAAAATCCTTCTCTGGAATTACCTTTGCTTTTAAAGTGCTTTATTTTCATGTGAGAACAATAAGACTTTACTTTAATGGTTCAAATTCCACACGTCGCCCTTGTCTTTTTTTCCATTATTTTGCTTTTCTATTCTGCGGTCCTATGCAAGGCTCGAACTAGGTCCGTAAATTCCGTAAAGGTCCGTAAATTTGCTAGAAGTCCGTAAAAGAGAGTTTTTTTTTGAAAAAGGTCCGTAAACTAATATTATAATTTGATTGAAAAAAGACGAAAAATTCGTAAATTGTACGATATAATTTGGAGAATTTTAGAGAAATTACAAATGATTGCAGAAATTCAATTATTTTCAAAAATATTGAAATTCTTCCCAGGAATTCAATTGTGTTTAAAAAATTTTTGAAATTCTCGTCAAAATTTCAATTATCTTTAGAAATAATTAAATTCTTCTCTGACATTCAATTATTTTCAAAAATTTTAATAAAATTCTTGTCAAAATTTCAATTATTTTCAAAAATTTTCCTCAATTTAATGATTTTTAATATCTATTTTCATAAAATATTCCAAAAGAATTCAATTATTAAAAAAAAAATTAATAAAATTCTGCGCAAAAATTTAACTATTTTTATAAAAGAATAAAAATTCCACAGTAATTCAATTATTTACAAATTTTTTATAAATTTCTTCGCAATCATTCAATTATTTTCATAAATAATAACATTTTTACAGGGATTCAATTATTTTCGTATAAATAATAAACTTCTTTCTAGGAATTCAATTATTTTTATAAATAATAAAACTCATTGGAGAATTTCAATTATTTTTAGTAAAATTTTAATCGATTTCCTCGAAAAACGTAATTATTTTGAAAAATTTTATTAAAATTCGTCAAAAGAATTCGATTACCTATTTAGAAATTTTTTCATAAAATTCTTTATGAGAATTCAATTTTAAGAAACATGGAACTATTATTCAATAAATTTTTTTTTTACTAAAATAATTGAATTCTAGTAGAATTTTCTCATAAAAATTGATTTAAAAATGGATTTCAGTTAAAATTTTAGATTATAATTGAATATTAAAAGCATTAGAGCTTGAATTTTTAGAAATAATTGAATTTTGAAAATGTTTCAAGAATTAAAATCTTTACAAATCTGAATTTTTCATATTTTTATTTAACAATTATGTGTAATTAATTTTTTTTTTGAGAAAGTTTAATTGCTGATTTTTTTAAAAATTATTTGAAGTTTTTATTTTTAAATTTTCTAATTTCAATTATTCGTAAATTCTTCAATATTATTTAATGTTGAAATTGTTGAAATTTTATAAAATTGAATTGTAAACAAATGAATTTGAAAATTTTCAAAGAACTTTTTCAAAAATTATTAAAATTAATGCCCTGATTTATAGAAGAATTTTAGTTAAAAATAAGAAAAAAAAATTTAATTTTGGAAAAATTACAAATTATTGCAGAAATTCAATTATATTTTCAAGAGTAATAATATTCTTCGCAAGAATTCAATTCTTTGCAAAAATAAAACTTTTTACAGGAATTCAATTATTTTAAAAAAAAATTTAATAAAATTCTTCGTCAGATGTCAATTATTTTCAATTTTTTAAGGAAATTTCTCGATGGAATTTAATTATTTTGAAAAAGTTTTTAAAAATTTTGAGAAATTCAATTATTTAAAAAAAATTGGAATAAAATTCTTTACAAGAAAGATAATTAATATCATAAATAATAATATTCTTCTTCGGAATTCAATTATTTTCACAAATAAAATTCTTCACAGGAATTCAATTCTTTAAAAATTTTTTAATAAAATTCGTTGCAAGAATTATTATATTATTATTATATTTTTATAAATAACAAAACTTATCGCAGAATTTCAATTATTTTTTATACAATTTTCAAAACAATGATAAAAAATTGCATTTATTCTTAAAATTTTTTTAAAATTCGTCGAAAGAATTTAAATATTTAAAAATTTTTTTTATAAATTTCTTTATAAAAATTCAATTTTAAGAAATATTCAATTATTTATTTTTATATTTAAATAATTGAATTCTAGTAGAATTTTCTAGTAAAAATTGATTTAAAAATGAATTTCAGTTAAAATTTTAGATGATAATTGAATATTAAAATTAATATAGCGTAGTGAATTTTTAGAAATAATTGAATTTTGTAATGAATTTTTTTGAAAAAGTTAAATAGAATTTTTTTATATTATTTGAAGTTATTATTTTCTATAATATGTATTTAATTGAAGAATTTACGAATAATTGAAATTTCGTAAAATTGAATATTGTAAACAAATGGATTTGAAAATTGTCCAAGAACTTTTTCGAAAATTTTAAAAAATAATCGATTTAAAGAAGAATATTAGTTAAAAATTGTTGAAAATAATAATTGAATTGATAATGATTTTATAGTTATGAAAAATTTAATTTATATTTTTAAGTAAAATGTTTTCTTATTTGACTTGGATTGCTTATATTTTTTTGTCAATAATTGGTCAAGTAAAGTCAAAGTAAAGTTAAAAGTAAAGTAAAATTTTTTTTCTTAGCTACTAATAAAATGACGAAAAGTCTTCCACCAAATGATTTACTAATAATTTTACTAACAAATAGTGAATCTTTTCTAATTGTTAATAGATTTTACTAATTGCTTAGTAGAATTCTACTAACAAAACTAACAATTAGTAGAACTGTTTTATTAATAGTCGATAAAACAGTTTCACTAGTTCATTTAGTGAAATAAGTGACTTTTAATTAGTGGAATTCTACTAAACATTAGTAAAGTTTTACTAAAAGTTAGTAATATTCTACTAATTGAAAAGGGGAAAAGTCTTCCATGAAAAGTACTAAAAATTATTATAGTAAAATTGGACTATTTCTTAGTAGAATTCTACTAATTCAGATTTAGAGAGTACACTTTGAAGAATGTGAAATTACATACAGATTTTCTATGAAGAGATTTTTGAACGAAACAATGAATATTTGGGTGGTAGAATAGTATTTGCAAAATTAAAAAGTGGGACATATAATGCATACGGAGAATTGTGAGAATGAGAAGGAAGATTGAGACCAACAGTGGCAAGTTTAATTCGAGTGGGCATATGTATTCCCTTATAAATACAGGAAGGTGTGCCAAGGTACTTTTGCTGTGTAGAGTACTCGAGGCGACAGTCAGTGGGCGGATAAGCGTAGAGCAGCTTCTTCTTAGCGAGCATCGTAAACGAAACGAGGGGCCACGCAATGAAAAGAGTAAAGCAAGCAAGCGAGTAAATCGAGAAACGAACCTATACCCACGCGTGCGAGGAAAGTCAACCCGTGATAAAGAAGTGAGTGAGAAAAAAGCAAGGGTTACCTGCTCTTAAATAATATTCGCATTTGCATTTACATACGGGAGAAATGAGCCAATGAGATGCTAATTATGGGCCTTATGCTTGAGAAATAATTGCCACTGTCTGAGTGAGCGACTCTCGACGAAGTAGCTCTTTTTATATTTCATTTATTTTCATTTCTTTGCTTTTTATTTCAAACTCAAATTCAGAACTCGGAACAATAGGCTTTAATTATTTCACCATTCTATTAGCTGCAACAAAACTGTTTTTTTTTTTCGAAAATTGAAAACGCGTTTTTAAAGTATATTCATTTTTCAATTTCGGTACTTGTAGAAATAAATTTTATCGAGAGGACATTAGTTTTGAATTGCTGAACAACATTTTCTGATGAGTAACTCAGATACCTGACTTTTGAAAGTGTCAGGCAAACAAGAGTGTGAATCGTTGCGGAGAACGTTCTCTCAGATAAAGCTAATGATATGACACAGAGAATGTATTTTAATGGTGTCGCTCCTATCATCGACTTGAGAGTTGTACTGGTTTCT